AGAACACTTGGGCTGTTATTAATAAAAATAATTACTATTGTTAAGCATTTACTGTGTGCAAAAGGCATGGTGATGAGCATTTCATGTTCATTTTCTTAATTCCAGCTTAGGGAAAATCTATGAATTTATTCCCATGGGTAGGTACAGAAAGAAAATCAGGACTTCCAGAGAAGCTGCTTGCCCAAGCTCACACAGCGAATGAGCACATTGAACACCAATCTGTTGACTTTAGAGCCAGGGTCCTTCACACCACGATCCTGCCTTGTTAGGCCTACCATTCACCTGCTAGGTGGCCTGGGGTGGTCTCTCTTATAAGCCTTGATTTTCTCCTTAGTACACTGTGTTGTGAATTTACCGATGTTCCACCCTACCTCCCTGACTTTTAGCAAGACATGAATGGGAAAATACTTCCAAACAAGGGGTTGTAATAGAAATATATAAAGTTAACCCTTGGTAAGTTCATTTCCTAAACAGAGTCATGTGAATATATTTTGGAGACAGTGATGGATTTTTCCCACACTTTTGATCACTTCTCTGTGAAAATGTGTGTGGGGGACAGAAAGTTCTTACGAGCCAAAGTAGGATATCATGCACCAGTGAGGAAATTTATTTAAGATGTAGTAAATGGAGCTGAGGTTACATGATGTAGGTTAAGGTGATCAGGTTAGGATGAGGCTGGAAGGTAAATTAGCAAGCAATAACAGTAACTGTATCAGACAGATATGGAAACTTTTTCTCTTAAGTTACAAAGCATTTTCACCTAGAATAATTCCTTTGATCTTCATAACAACTCTGAAGTAGGCAGGTGAGAAGGTATTTACCCACTTAAAAATGAAGGCACCAGTGTTCAGAAAGATCAGGCACTTGTCCATGGACATGCAGCATAGACAATCCATTTCCACTTCAGCGGGAAGAAAAATATTTAGTTGTCAAAAATAAAAACAGGGCAAGGATAGAGGCACATACATGTAACATTCATTATATAAAGCATTTTCAGCCTTTTACCTCATGTTTTCCTTTGAATCACTCTAAGACTTAGTCACGTGCCCCAAGTTACACGAACATAGTCAACTGGGCCAGGATTAACATTTGTGTTTTCTGATTTTAAGTCTAGTGTTTTTTACAAGAGTCTGTCCTGTGGATGTGCGGCCAGAGTGGGATTTGAGAGGACGTGGTAGGGTACCTGCTGGCCTCCTTCACGTATGGGCCATACAAAGGCAGGAGGGAGATGATGGCTCAGAGATGGTCATGGTGTGTGGGTGTCTCTGGGAAGACGTGGGAGGCGGGGAACTGTAGCAGGAGTGGCTGCAGGCATCACAGGCCATGCTTGGCTGAGTTGAACAGCAGACTTGCAATAAGATGCTGCCATATGGGCAAGGCACCGGGGCTGGCTATCTGAGCATACGAAGAAAGAATCAGGAGGATGGGGGAACCAAAACTATCAGGCGGATTCCAAATAACCGTCTGATCCTCATGAAAATAAACCCTATCCTTTGCAAATTCAGTTTCCTAAGTATCACTATATGCACGCATCGCCTCTGTGATAGGCTGAGTTCTGTGGGAACCCAACGTCATGCCGGAGACGCAGCTTCTCTGAACCTCACTTGTCTCATCTATAAAATAACTGGACGGAAACAGTTCATTTTCAGAGGCACTGTGAGTCTCACATGCTGCGCCATCGTCATTTACAATCTGGTGGTGACAGAGGTCGAATGTCAGCAGTGTAAAGGCCCTTAGAACCCACTTGGTTCAAGCACTGAGAAACAGAGAAGCTGATTCAGGCTGGGACTGGAGCCTGGGTCTTTGGAAGCCAAGTCCTGGATTTCCTCTGCCGCAACTCAGAAGCTACATGAAGAATCCCGGTGCTGGAGGAGACCCTCCCGGCCCCCGAGTACAGCTGCTCATCCTCTGATCCGCCTTGTGGGAAAGCCTCCCCGCGGGGAAACGCAGCTCTGCTCACATACGCCTCCAGCACGGAAAATACTCATTCCAGAGAGAAGCCTTTTATTTCTGTAAAGCTACGCATTTTAGTTTTTCCCCTTAAATTGAGCTTCCATTTACTGCCCACCATTTGGAGCCACAGAGAACATATTCATGGCCTCTTTTAGATCTCTGACTCATTCATAATTCTTGGCACTGGTCTACATAGCAGGTTGCTCCAGATGGTTTCTGGGATTAATAAGGAGTCACAATTTGGAAAAAGCTATGACATCCTTCCTAAGAGACATTTTATTCTGTGCCGGCTACCAAGAGGATGTTTGCATGGGACAGGATACGGTGGCTCGCAGAGCCCAGGACACTTCCTCAAGAATAGGACCACTTTTCCCCCTGTACCGCCCTCCTTCCTCCTTTCCCTGGGGACCCACTCACATGTTCCCACCTGCCATTTCTAGGACCTTGACTCCTACCAAACTAAGATAATTGAAGGAGGTTTTCGTAAGGCCAGGGAAGGAGACAGGCATTCCTTGAGCGCCGTAACACACCCCACTTTTATCATCGAAGGGCTTGTTTGTAAGGGTGCTGCTTCATCGGAAGGCTGCTCTGTCCGTCCCGACACCACATCCTGCAAGAATCTGAGGCTCCCTCGTTTCCTGTCTGCTCCATTAAGGCAAAGGTGGGTCAAAGGCCAAGAGGAGGAAAAGTAGACTCTGACGGGTGACTGTCAAGCAAGCAGAGGAGTTCAGAAAACAAGGAGAGGAAAAGGAAACAGAAAAAGGAGTATTTTGAGGGAGAAAAGAGAAGACTAGGTGGCCTGGGAGGAGGGACTCTCCAACTCAGACCTCAGGTAGAGTCCATGTGGACTGAAGTTAAAATTTAAGGAAAAAGTAGTGGACTCTTCTGCATTATCTTCTGGCCTTTGTGCATGCACTTGACTGTCGTAGCCAAGTGCTGTGGTAACTCATCTGGGTAGCACAGCGACCCTCTAGTGATTATGGGTATGTGGAAAGTTTGCATGGATGGGACAGTGATGAAGACGGGCCTTTCCATCAATATCAGAAGGAAGACACATAGCCACTGTGAGATGTTCAGACCAGATCATTATTCATTCATTAATTCACTCCTTTAAATAAATCTGAACACTTATTATGTTCGAGGAACTTTAGAGGAACCATGTTTTATCCTTGTGGTGACAGCTTAGAAGCTATTTGGGAAAATGAGACATTGAATTGCAGCAAAAATTAGGAGAAATTTCACAGGGAGATTGAACCTTAAGTACCAAATGAGTGGTGTAAACAATAATTGCTATGAATTCATGGGAAGATTAAATTTTGGCATGATTAGGGGAGGCTAGGTTGAGAAGATGAGTATTCAGCTCAGTTGGAACTGGATGAAGGAGCGAGAGAAGAAAATCTTAAATATGTCAAGCATGTCAAAAGTGCATAAGGGAGTAATGAATAGACACAGTTTAACTGAAGTTGACTGTTTTAAAAATTACTGAAAGATGAAATTACTGAAAGAATAACCCAGAAAGGTAGATTTGGATGGATAAATATCAGACCAAAGGAAAGAAATTTTTGATCAGGAAAATGACGTGATGGGAATTATATTTTAGACAGAACATGGAATGGGAACAGAGCGCAGTGGTGAGGGATTGGAGGCAGATAGAGTTTGGTGGGTAGATACCCATTAGCAGGATGTCGTAATAATCTGGGTGGGAAGATTAGGAGAGTGGAATTGGGGGAATATAAAAGAATCATCTACAAATCCATTGGGAAGAGGAAACTGATTGGATGTGAAACAAGAAGGGACTCAAAGATGATTCGGAGATTTTGAATTTAGGAGTTTTACCATTGACGGAAGATCCTGAAGACTGGAAATAAAAAGGGGGTGCCGTGGGAGAGAAAGAAGGGGTGGTTCGAGGAGTAGTATACTGCAGTGAATTTTGAACAGATTTCTGGGATTATTTCCATGCTGTTTAACCTGATGGTCAAAGACCTCCAATTTCTTACCCTGGCTTATTGTCCTCATGTCAGATCCCACTTGCCCTGGACACCAGTGGCTCTCCACAGTGGCAGTACTCATCTGGGCAGGGTTTTTTTTAAAAAAAATCCTTACCCTAGGTCATCCCCCAACCAACTAAATCAGAATTTAAGGGGGTGGGATCCCAGCGTCCATATTTTTTTAAAAGCTTGTTGGGTAATTCCATTGTACAGCCAAGCTGGAGACCCTTGCCTTTCCAGTAGTTCCCACATGCAGCTACCAGTATTTCTTCCCTGGATATACATCTTCAAGTGGGAAAAAGCTTTGCGATAAGCACTAGCCTATGTCAGTGGCCAGCACTGTCAACCCCCCAAGGAGCCAGACCCCCAGTGTGGGCAACCCCCCAACCTTGATTCCTCTCTCTCCCTCAAACTTGCATCTAAGTGCCAAGTCCTGCAATTCTACTTAAACAAGTTCTAGAATTTGACTTCTTTCGCCCCATTACTGCTTCCCAGCCCAGGCCACTTTTCTTGCAAACCAGATGACTGCAGGAGCCCCTTAAGCCCTCCAGCCTTGCCTCCCTCCAACCCCACATCAGTACTGCAGTGAGAAAGGTTCTTGCAAAATGTGAATAAATCCTGTCATATCACTTCCCTGGTTCCAGGAGGCCGTGAGGATGATGGAAAAGATATTCTGTGATTTGTCATTGGATTACTTATCCAATTTTACATCTTGCCACCTGCAACCCCTAACCACCCCCGCCCTGACACACACACACACACACACACACACACACACACACACACACACACACACACACACCCAACGGCCTGGCCACACTGGATGCTCCCCCTTGCATCTGGAAATGTGTTCATAGTGACCCCCTGTGACAGTAACACAGGCCCCTCCCTCTCCATTCTCCTCCCCTGATTTATCCTGCTTCTCCTCTTTATCATTTTTCTCCATTTGTCATCTTAAGACCACAGACTTTCCCACGTGAAATCCTTCAGTGGCCCTCTCGGTGTGGATTAGATGCTGCCCTTATTGTAACATTTATTACATTATTTACTTACCTCTCTTCCTCATTAATCTGTTAGTTTTGCAGGGGTGTGACAATTCTGTTCACCATGTGGTCACCAGCAAAATGCCTAGGACACAGAAGAATAAATAATTTTGGAGTCCCTAGGAAATGAATCCTCTATTATCATATTACACGTGAGCTGAAGGCAGACAGAGCAACCGACACACGTGTTCCTGCAAAGCGAACACTGGGCAAAGAAAATGACTGCACAGAATGTTTGCTCATTCCTCATTCTGGTATCCACACAGAAAACCAATAAAAACACTGTATTTTTTTTTAAATCATTAAAAGCAGAAAATACTAGGGTTAGTCAAAACCAATCCAAATGTTTATCTCTTTGAAAGAGCGTTACTAGTAAAACAAATAGGAAGTTATCACCATTTGTGTGAAAGATAACAGACCAAGGAATAAAGCTAGTAAGCAGCATTGCTGAGACGCTGATCATGAGATTTTAGCTGGGACAAATGAAATACCCAAACCGAACGGTTCCCTCTACCACCCTTTACCGGCTCGTGCATTTCTGGAGTCCCCATCTTTTGCCATCTGGGATTTAGATGCTCTTGTGAGAACCACTGCGTTTTCTTACAAAGAGGAGACTGACATGCAAGTTGGCTGCTTCTACGTTTTGAGATTAAACTCCTTCAGGAATATGGGAGGGAAATTAAAATGGCTTGGATTTGTACCTTGGGGCTTCCGGCCCCTCTGGCACTCAGAAGAAGATGCTTGGCAATCAGGACACACGGGCCAGGCACCTTTAGGACTGAGCATGGTACCTCTGTTCATTCTTCCGTGGGAGGACGTTTCAGGCATGCAGCCACGCCCTCCAAGACACAAGAGTGAATTAAAAGTGGATTTAGAGAGCACGCAGCGATGATAAACTGCAGTGCCAGGAGGGATAAATTCACCGTGCGGACCTCCTTTAGGCTGCCGAGGGAGGAAGGGAGGGAACAGCGGGAGTCACCTTACACCGACGGGCAGCAAGCAGCTCGTGTCTTGTTCTTCCTATTCTGCAGAGGACCCATCGGAGTAAGAGTCTTACATATTTTAGGTTCTAGTTAAACAAAAGGTAAATTAGAATCACGCCACAAAAGAAGTCCTCTGGGAGTTTAATTCTAACCCACTGAATGCCGAGTATTCTTAGGAGGATGCGCGGAACAGACCATAGAGTCATTTACTCCAAGGAGCGTCTGGTATTTGAGTCTCCTCTGCGACACCTGGGCCACCGGGACGCCTCACATGTGCTCTCTCTTGACAGCAAAGTCCTTGACCACCAAGAGTGGGAGGGATTGCTGGGAGGGGTCCCCAAGGTCCCACTTCCCTCCTGAGCAGCCTAGTTAGCAGCTCTGTGTCGGCAAATTTCTACTGCTGCTTTGCAGAACTCAGAACAGCATAAGCAGAAAAGAAATGTCACTCTAAGATCCTATCCAGCCCAGAATTCTCTCTTGGAAACAGAAGCTATCAGGTAGGAAAATGCAATCATTGTCCTTCACGGGCTCCCGTCAGGGGCTGGGGAAATATAAAGAAATATCATGGATGTCTCCGATCGCAGACTTCTCACGGGCACACTTCATCTGCCTCTGTTCTCAGCTGACTCCATTCTTCCTGAATTCTGCCTCTGGACCAGCAGCACCCCGGGTGCTCCCTCCCTTTAGGATGTATTTATTGAGGTTCTGCAGAGGAGCATTCTCAGTTGTTCCAATTAGTCTCTTTATATTTCATGGAGTGGCCCTTCTTGTAGTCCTTCATTTTAGAGGAACGACGACATTAAAATTAAGATTATGAGCTCTTCTCTTGTTAGGTAAAGTGTAACCCATCCCTACTTGTTGTTTGATTGTGGATCAGTTGCTATTTTTCATCTTTCTTTTCACTTTTTTCTTCTTGTGTGCCCGTATCTCACAACATCTGCTACTGAAGTATTCCAGGAAGACTGGCCCCCAGATCGAGGTCTTTTGCAGAAAGGGATATATGTTTTAATGTTAAAATTGGTCTTAATTTTGCATTCAGTGTCATTAAATAGGTATTTCATTTAATAAAACATATTTTATGTGAATATTAATTAAAGCTAATGTTTATATGTGACTTCACATTTCTCCTAGCAGAGGAAGATGGAGCTAGGGAACAAGTATCCTCCATACTAAAAAAGAAAAGAAAAGGGCTAGAATCCCACCCCTGTAACCTCTTCTGGTCTTTCACAATATGTCCCTTGATCCCTGGCACAACCCCCAAACCTGGATGTTCTGGCCCGTCTGATAGTTCCCAGGCCCAGGGGTGTATCTTCCTCCCAAAAGGTTCATCGGATGCTCAGCTGTTTTCCACCCATACATCCATCTTCTAGATATTTTTTGAGGTCTTACTATGTCCCAGGCACTGATAAAGATATTCTCCAGCCATCTTTTCCCTTTCTCTCTAAATCCCTCATCACACAACCCTGTGTCCTCATGAATGTGTGGTACAGTAAAGCGTACAGTAAGTAATGCCTGACCCTTCTTGAGTGTGCCAGACGGCTCAACAGTATAACTTCTTGTCTAGTTTCCGCTATTAATAAACTTAGACCAAAGAATCCTAGTTTTTACAACCGGATCTTCTGAGCTCCCTGTCGGCTTCTCAGCCTCTCTCCTATTTTCCCTACATGAAATAGGCCATGGAGGCTGGGATAATAGGGCCTATTAATTTTACGCTGTAGCTAATTAGCTGTGTGATCATGAGCAAGCCACTTCACTTCTGGGAGTTCATTTCTGTCCCTGAAAAATAGGGATCGTAATATTTACCATGTAAGGTTGTTGTTAAAGTGAAGCTTAAATAAGTCTAGTAGTGTGAAACCCATAGGTGGACCTGATGCCTAATACATCTTTCAGGAAGTAAATGTATTTCAAAACCCAGCCAGAATCAAGTTCCAAGTTCCAGCTTTTTCTTACTGTAGAATATAGTCATGCACATACATTAGGGCAACAACAAAGAAGACACGTTGACAAACAATGAGGGAAAAGTTTTATGAAAAATGTTATGTATTTTAAAAGCATACTGGTCATCATGAAGAAAAAATAGGAGAACTCCTCACCCTTTTTTTATGTTGAACTAGAACTGTGCGTGGCTGCGAGGAGGAACATCTTTTTAGTACTTACATAAAGCCACTAAAGGTCTTACCAGTATCCCAGCCTTAGCATGTAAGGACACCGATGGTTATGGCTGGAAAACTATGTGCCATGAGCTGTCCAGCGTCCCAGGTGGAGAGCCTTCCTGTGTCCGTAGCCTGAATGCTTCAGCCCAAAGCTAGGCCATCTTGTTATTTTCCAAGTGCAAATGGCAGTTTCCAAGCAGTCTGTTTTAATGCAGTCTAGGGCAAATTATTGTTATTTTTTATCGAGGTATAATTGACATGCAGTATCCCATTAGTTTCAGGTGTACCTCGTAGTGATTCAATATTTTTATGCATAATGAAATGGTCTCCATGATATGTCTAGTTTCCATCTGTCAACATGCAAAGTTATTGCCATATTTTATTGACTATATTCCTTATGTCATACTTTTAATCCCCGGGACTTAATTATTTTATAACTGGAAGTGCGTACCTCTTTATCCTCTTCACCTATTTGGCTTAACACCTAGCCCTTTCCTGGCTGGTAACCAACAGTTTGTTTTTCTGTATCTAGGAGTCTGTTTCTGTTCCATTTGTTTTGTTTTCTAGGTTCCACATGTAAGTGAAATTATACAGTATTAGTCTTTCTCTGTCGGACATATTTCATGTAATGTAATACCCTCTGGGTCCATCCATGTCGCCACAAATGGCAAGATTTTGTTCTTTTTTATGGCTAAGTGATATTCCAGTGCATGTATGTACCACATCTTCTTTATCTGTTCATCCATCAATAGATAGGTTGCCTCCGTATCTCAGCTAGTGTAAATAACGCTGCAGTGAACATAGGCGTGCATGTATCTCTTCAATTTGGTGCTTTTGTTTTCTTTGGATAAGTATCTAAAAGTGGAATTGCTGGGTCCTATGGTATTTCTATTTTTAATTTTTGAGGAGCCTCCATACTGTTTTCCATAGTGGCTGCACCCATTTACATTCCCATCAACAGTGCACAAGGGTTCCCTTTCCTCCACATCCTCACCAACACTTGTTATTTTTCTTTTTGATAATAACCATCCTGACAGGTGTGCGGTGATCGGTATTTCCTTGCAGTTTTGATTTGCATTTCCCTGATGATTAGTGATATTGAGCATCTTTTCAGGTATCTGTTTTGTTAGCCATCTGTATGTCTTCCTTGAAAAAATGTTCAAGTCCTCTGCCCCTTTTTTAATTGGGTTGTTTGTTTGTTTTTTATGTTGCTATGCAAGTTTTTTTAATAAACTTTGGATACTAACCCTTAGCAGATGTATGATTCGCAAATATCTTCTCCCATTCTGTAGGTTGCTCTGCATTTTGATGGTTTCTTTTGCTGGGCAAAAGCTTTTTAGCTTGATGTACTCCCTTTTGTTTATTCTGGATTTTATTGCCCTGGCCTGAGGAGATTGGTCCCAAAAAATATTGCTGAGACTCGTGTCCAAGAGCTTACTACCTATGTTTTCTTCTAGGAGTTTTATGGTTTCAGGACTTATATCCAAAGTCTTAATCCATTTTGAATTTTATTTTTGCATATGGTATACAATAGTTGTCCCATTTCATTCTTTTGTGTGTAGCTGTCCATTTTTCACAATGCCATTTAATGAAGAGACCGTCATAGGGAGAATTATTTTTCTAGTCTGTTTTTTCCATTGTAAACTTTATGTGGGTGAAGAAAAAAGTGAGGAAGAAAGTGGAGCCAGAAGATTGAGACGGGCAGGACACAAGATTGCACAACCTTATAAAGAATTTATGAAATAAGACAAGACAGTGAATCCTTGCCACAAAGGCATGCCAGGAGGACGGATGAAGTAACTGGTTTGAGTTGCTCTGTGTTCTTTGGAGGAAGGAGCTTTATAAATAACTGAGGCCACTTTTCTCTTTAAAAGAGAATTAAATGAATGATGATTGTTTGCTTAACTAGCACAAGTTGACCTTTATCGCTAGTGAGTTTCTTTTCTTCCTGTATAAAGGCAAGGCCCTTGAGATCATAGGGCAACTTCAACAGGGGGACCTGCCCAGAATATGTTTTGCGGGTCCCCAGAAAACTGTCTTTGTCCCAGACGGCCTCGCCCAGGCAAGCATGCGAAGTGCATGGGATGAGCAAAGGGCTGGGTGCCACGGCATTTGTTTTCCATTGAATGGGATTAGGGATTCTGACATGAATGATTAATCACCACATTGCAGACAGCTGACAAACACAGGAAAGAGCCCACTCGGAATGGATGGGGTATGCAATCTATTTCAAACAGCTGCTGGGTGTGCCTGTGTCTCCCGCCCTCCCGACACTTCCCTCAGGTTCCTGAATTCTGGCTTCTCTCTTTCTCCCACTCTCTCTCCCTTTGCTCTTCTAGCTCAATCTTCTCCGTCTTTTTCTTTCTTTCACAATCACTTGATTTCCCCCTCCCCTACCTCATACCCTCTTTGTTGAGGTTGATTCTCTCTTTCTTTCCTACTCTCCATCCTCAAACCCCTCATTGTCTTACTTCCATATCAAGCCAGCACCTGGTCTGGAGCCCTGATGGGGCACATGGAGGGTTGTGTACGGGAGGGTACGGGAAGCTAGATTTGAAAGCACTGGGCTCAATCTCAGCCTTTCCCGTCACACTCCTACGTACAAGGGCAATGAGGCGGACAGTGCCCCTCCATGGAGATGAACACCCCCAACAGAACTGCGCAGAGCCACGCACACACAACATCATGTGAAGAAAACAGCAGCAAGAACAGGCCTGGCATTTTGTTCGCTATTGCTTGTTAGCCTACTGTGTAGCCGTAGCCCAATGTTTTCTTCGTGACTGTTTGGGTTTGGGAGGGCTGTGCTTGCTCTCACTAACCTTTAAAGGGAAGATGATCACAAGTCCTTGAGTTCTGACAGCTCACGGCAAGAACTCCCAAGTCTGATTTCCTTGTGTGAGTCCTGGCTTTACTCCTCTTCATCTGGGTGGCCCTCAGTCTGTGGTTGTCTATGCCTTAGCATACCTTAGATTTCTCAGGAAAACTCATAAAAAGTCAGACTGCTGTTTCCCACCCCCTGGAGTTTCTTGACTCAGTAAGTCTAGAATTGGGTCCAAAAGTTTGCATTTCTAGTAGGTTTCCAGGTGACTTTGATGCTGTTGGCCTGGGAACCCCACTTGAGAACTACTTTTCTAAATGATTTCCTAGGCCTCCTTGCTACTGGTTCCTTTCACACTTACAGATTCATGCAAGATCTGTGCCCTAGCATATACAGCTTAGAAAATTTAGAGGTACTCTTACAGAAAGGAAATACCACTAACAAAGTGGAACGAATGTCAGAAATGAGTATAATGTGACCAAAACAGTCATCTAAGACAAAGGGAAAAGCCTATCAAGAGCCGTCTACCCACCCTCCACAATCTCTTCCCATACACACATTGATGGGGCACCTTCTTCTCTGCCTTGTACCTCTTGAGCACCTCCCTAGGCAACCTCCTCTCACAGTCTTCATTTCACTCATCATATCCAAGATGCGGCCCATGTGGACATGACCCACATGTCTTTGAGGCATCGCCTGCCTACATTTTAAAGTTCTCTACATATTCAAACTTACCTAGGCAGTCCAAGCAGATGAGCAAGCCCGCCAGACCTCCGCCTGTCCACATTGCAGTGTGACTGGCTGCCCCCAAGGTTCCTCTTAGCAGGCTGGGATCAATGAGAGACTGTAATTGAAACTGAGCATCATTAATTATATACTTTGGGTATATAATTCAAATCTGACCTTACTACAATGACATCATGGACATGGGGGCATGACAAAGAACTCCCAACAAAAGGAAGATGGGAATGAACCCACCATCCGTACACCCGGGACTCAGGTTGGATGCCCTTCTAGTGACTCTGATTGTTATTTATTTTTTCACCATGCCTGGATGTGGACTTCTGTGCATGTGGCAACAACTGTAAAAGCTCTGCACGGCGTGAGATGCACTAACGTGAAAGAGCCTCAAGTGTCACTTTCTCTGGGGTGCTGGCTTTCTAAATGCTTTTAGCCTCTTGACACAACTGGCTGCAAGCCCAGGGCTGGCTTTCCAGAGACTGGTCCAACAGCCCAAGGGATGCAAAGGTACTGGCTTCTTGCAAACTCACATCAAGCAGCCCCATCTATCCTGCTGACCCCACCTACTGTACAGCTAGTCCTGTGGGAGGAATCGTCTCAACATACTTGAGAATCTACTCCAAGTGGCAGCCTGGAAGGGAGAATGAAGGACATTCACCCTCGGTGAGGAAATACGGTCTTAAAGCCTGTGGATAAGGGGACTGCTGCCACACACATAGTCCCGAAAAGCTGAGCTGTCACATTTAACTAACGGATGGAAAACTTTGGAAAGATCAAAGCTTAACATTTTTCCGGTAACATGAATTCACTTACACTGTACATAATTTTTTTAGATTACTCATTAAGCTGTTAAAACAGCTCTATATAGAATATGAGAAATATGCTTGGGTGTACGTGACTAAGAGTCTCTCAGGTTTCGTATTTCCTAACTTTTTTTTAAGTATAAATTTGTACCTGAGTGCTTTATTAATGTAGCTTTTTGCATATAATTTTCCTAGTGGTTTTTTGTTTTAAAAGAGAGTATGACTCGAGCACAGGCACTACCAGTATTTAGTAATGTTTGCCTTTAATTACATAGATTGTGAGGTTAGCACAGATGGGGCGCCTGGGTGAGAAGCTGAGGTTCTCTTTGCTGCTGTTGTTCATTTGGAGGCCGCTTTTTCAACCAGGCAAATCTGAACAGATAGGAGAAGAAAGCTTAGAGCAAGATAGGCTGATTTCTTCCCCAGGCAACCACCCACCAAGGTCTTCCTTCTTATACATTGTTAATAGCAGACCCAGAAACTTCCCGGGGTAGAGTACTCAGACTGGACATGAGCAAACACAGAACTGCTTCTCCATCGGAACCTCCCCCCATTACAGCACCTAACACATCTTGTTCTTGGCCACATGACCATGGTGCATAAATGAATTAATCTGAGAGTGGGTGGGAACTCAGTCTCACTGAAACTTGAATATTTCACCCAAACTCTCTTATCATACATTTCCTCATAGGTACAATGCGAACATACCCTTTAAATCATAGAATTGTGTTAGTGAGTGAAATTGAGATAGTTACATGAAAATGGCTGTAGCATTGGTTTGCTCTGCTTTCTGCATCTCCATCCCTCTCTCCCCATGCACACCAAGAAGTTCCAGAGGGGAATCTCAATATTAGTATGGGTGCAAGAGATGATTTTTATTTGTGGTGCATTGGGTAGAGGTGATGCTTTATGACACATCATAGTCTCGAGCCTCCCAACACTGTTTCAAACATATTGAAGCGTATTTTAACAGTAAGTTAAAATTTAATGCGGCGACAAAAATGTATTTGCACAAAGCATGATGTAGGGTTCATGGCAACAGGGTGGAATCTCACTTTGGGGAAGCAGGGCTTGACAACCTCTCATCTGCTGTCACGAGAGCAAAGGAATCCAGTATCTTTAACCTACAGTAGAAACTGGAGCACAGACCGGGACTCCTGGGAACTTAGCAAGGGTACCTTATGCTAGGCTGAGGGCCTGTTCGGGCTCAGGCTGCTTGACACCTGAGGACTCCATGGGAAAAGCTATCAGAAAGCTTGCTTGTCCTCTGTCAGGCCAAATTTGGACATGTGACTGAAGACGGAGCCAATTGCTTAAATAAAATTTTAGAGGATATCCGATCTGAACTTACAGGACCACGTGAGGCCCAAGATCTCCTGTTAGCAGTTTCAGATCCTTGCTGCACTCCCTCCCACATAAACAAACAGAAGGGGAAAAGAAAAGCTGACTTTAATTAAATCATAAAAAAATAATTAGTTCTTATTTTCTAAGTAAACATTGATTTAAGCATTTCCAACCCACTTCCCTGGCCGCAAACAAAGAGACAAAAAGATGTGTTTCCAAAGATAACATTCATTTGCAGCTTATGCCCTGGAAGACTGAATGGAAGCTCACAGCTCAGCAGGCAGTTTTGGCAATGAATTTGAAATGCTGAGAACTAAAGACTTGCCCTCTCAGTCTTTTTCATGATATCAGGACATTGCGGGAAGTACGCTTTAATCTTGGAATCTGTAGCATGTAGCACAGTGCCAAGCACAGGGTATTTGCTTGACATGTTTTTTCTGTGCATGAATGGATGGGATGTATACATGTGAGTCACTTACAAACTCATTTCTCTACTTCATTTTACTTACATATGTATATATCAGGGCATTTGTGTGACTGTGTGGAGGGGATATTTGTGTATAATGGACATACTGATACATCTTAATGCTTGTCAGGAAAATTAAGTTCACATGGTCAGGTATATATTATTCACCGTGGCCCTTTGAAAATTACAGAGTGAACCATTCTGTTTTTATTCCAACAGAATTCAACAGTGGTCTTTTATTTCTTATTATTTCTCTTGCTTTTTCATAGCAAAATCTGTTGATCTAAACATGATATTATAACAGATTATATAGTATATGTGTTAAAATAGATAGTATATGTGCTAAAATATATGCTAAAATATATAAAATTCATGATTTAAATAGATCCCTATTTCTATAAGATCTGTTCAAACAACAATCCTGTCATCCTGTGCCAGTGCTCATTCCCAACAACCAATGGCTTTCAACTTTTTAGCAGTTTATTTTGGAACTCATTTGCATGCCATGCTAACCTGCTTACGCTGTTATTTCTTAATTTTGCATTTGTAGATGTTATCTTTTGACTTCATCTGTAAAGTGAAGTTTGAGTCTTTTCTCTTCTGTGCACACACTCACACGCACGTCAACGGTTCTCTGCCTTTCTCGGTGTAATCGTTTCACACGTATTAGTGAAATCCACAGGCAAAGTTTACGTTCTGAAGATCATATAATGACTGCTTGGCCACAGACGGTGTTGTGACTGCACTTCCACTTCGTGCAGGATTCTGTTTTTCAATGATCATGGCTGCCTTTTTCACGTATCTGTAGGACCACTGATAGTAGAACTTCTGACAGTGTTAACCCCCAAACACAGCAGGTAATCCGGGCTCATCATGCCAGCATCATTCTGGGGAAATATATTGTTAGTACTTTGGTGATGTCCTCTCCTCTGTTCCTGTGTTCTCTTTCTACAACTCCTATTATCCACATGTTTGAACTATACATAACACTGATACTCAACTTCTGTAAATTTTCCCTAATTTTTATTCCTTTGTCATTTTTCCCCATTTGGAGGTGAGGGACTTCTCACTCTTTGAAAGTTCCTGTCCTCATTTCATTCATGTGATCGATTTCTATTTGGATATTAATGATGGCATTTTTTCCTTCTATTCCCTGCAATTTTCTCTGTTTTGCTTCTTCTTTCTTCTCTTTGTTCCTCCTTGTATGTTTCCAACTTACATGTTAAGTATTTTCCTCCGAGGTCTGGTGATTCTGGTCTATCCATTTATAT